ACCTCTTAACATATCTATGTGAACATTGTTTGAATGCATAATGTAGCAAAACAGATGTCATTCTTAATTTCGGCTGATGGCGTCAGTTAATCTGGTGCCTGAGAACAATCATTCATTTTAACGTTAGAAGTCTCCTTCCAAAAATGGACATGCTAAGGGTTGATGCAACGGATATGGACATCATGGTCTTATCAGAAACCTGGTTAAAATCTAAAATTACAGACAATATGATTGCTATTGATGGCTATAATATTTTCAGAGCAGATCGTTTAGGTAAAGGGGGCGGAGTTGCTATGTATGTGAAATAAAAAATTTTAAGCTCAGTGGAATTGTCAGTAAGTAGAGCCAAACAATTTGATCTACTGGCACTGAAAGTACATTTATACAAGGACACACACCTGACTGTTGTTGGCTGCTACAGGCCACCCTCCACTATAAAATAAACTATTTCTTCTCTCTATGATGTACTACTAAACCTTAAGGACTCCGAAGTAATTCTAATGGGTGACCTTAATTGGTATTGGCTTTCCCCTGCCTCTGAGAATATTAAAGACCTATCTGTCTCTCTAAATTTCACACAACTTACTGACACCCCAACACGTATCAACCCGAGAGATCATAGCACATCAACACTGTTGGACGTCATTCTTACAATTATGCCACATACAGGTGCTGGTCATAAAATTAGAATATCATGAAAAAGTAGATTGATTTCAGTAATTCCATTTAAAAAGTGAAACTTGTATATTATATTCATACATTACATACAAACTCATATATTTCAGATGTTTATTTTGTTTAATTTTGATGATTACAAATGACAACAAATGAAAATCTCAAATTCATCATATCAGAAAATTTGAATATTACTGAAGACCAATAAAAACAAAGGATTTATAGAAATGTTGGCCAACTGAAAAGTATGAACATGAAAAGTATGAGCATGTACAGCACTCAGTATTTAGTTGGGCCTCCTTTGGCCTGTATTACTGCAGCAATGCGGCGTGGCATGGAGTTGATCAGTCTGTGGCACTGCTCAGGTGTTATGATAGCCCAGGTTGCTCTAATAGTGGCTTTTAGCTCTTCTGAATTGTTGGGTCTGGTGTATTGCATCTTCTTCTTCACAATACCCCATAGATTTTCTATGGGGTTAAGGTCAGGAGAGTTTGCTGGCCAATTAAGAACAGGGATACCATGGTCCTTCAACCAGGTACTGGTAGCTTTGGCACTGTGTGCAGGTGCCAAGTCCTGTTGGAAAATGAAATCTGCATCTCCAAAAAGTTGGTCAGCTGCAGGAAGCATGAAGTGCTCTAAAACTTCCTGGTATGTGGCTGCGTTGACCCTGGACCTCAGAAAACACAATGGACCAACACCAGCAGATGACATGGCACCCCAAACCATCACTGACTGTGGAAACTTTACACTGGACTTCAAGCAACGTGGATGAAGTGCCTCTCTTCTTTTCCTCCAGACTCTGGGACCTTGATTTCCAAAGGAAATGCAAAATTTACTTTCATCAGAGAACATGACTTTGGACCACTCACCAGCAGTCCAGTCCTGTTTCTCTTTAGCCCAGGCAAGACGCTTCTGACGCTGTCTGTGGTTCAAGAGTGGCTTGACACAAGGAATGCGACAGCAGAAACCCATGTCTTTCATACGTCTGTGTGTGGTGGTTCTTGAAGCACTCACTCCAGCTGCAGTCCACTCTTTGTGAATCTCCCCCACATTTTTGAATGGGTTTTGTTTCACAATCCTCTCCAGGGTGCGGTTATCTCTCTTGCTTGTACACTTTTTTCGACCACATCTTTTCCTTCCCTTCGCCTCTCTATTAATGTGCTTGGACACTGAGCTCTGTGAACAGCCAGCCTCTTTAGCGATGACCTTTTGTGTCTTGCCCTCCTTGTGCAAGGTGTCGATGGTCGTCTTTTGGACAACTGTCAAGTCAGCAGTCTTCCCCATGATTGTGTAGCCTATAGAACTAGACTGAAAGACCATTTAAAGGCTTTTGCAGGTGGTTTGAGTTAATTAGCTGATTAGAGTGTGGCACCAGGGGCCATCAATTTTGAACCTTTTCACAATATTCTAATTTTCTGATATGATGAATTTGAGATTTTCATTTGTTGTCATTTGTAATCATCAAAATTAAACAAAATAAACATCTGAAATATATGAGTTTGTATGTAATGTATGAATATAATATACAAGTTTCACTTTTTAAATGGAATTACTGAAATCAATCTACTTTTTCATGATATTCTAATTTTATGACCAGCACCTGTACATCGTCTGCTGTTTTTTGTAATGATGTCATTGATCACTGTGTTTTAAAACTTTTAATGAACGGGCTTTTATTCATGATTTGTACAATTGTAATTTGGAAAATGTCTGTCAGATACCTGATGTAGAACATGCCTGGGAATATTTTCATAATGCCTTTTCAGCTATCTGTAATAAGCATGCTCCTATAAAGAAATTTAAGATTAGCGGGAGGAACAACCCTTGGTTTACTGAAGAGTTAAGTCATAAGATCAGAGAAAAAAATGTCGCATGGGGAAAAGCTCAAGCCACAAATTCTACTGCTGACTGGACTGCTTTCAGAACTTTAAGAAATAAATGCACAAGCATTACCAGAAAAGCTAAATCAGATTACTATCTAAAAAATGTGTCTGAAAACCTCAATAACCCCGCTAAATTCTGGAAGCAAATTAAGTCTCTGTCTAATTCCAATTCTTCGTCTGCAGGTCTCACACAACATATTTTTGTAGATTCAGTTGAAATTAAAAACAAAATTGACATACCGTAATTGGTCATTTTAACAATCACTTTGTATCAGCTGGCTGTATCTTCAATGAGTCCAAATCTAGTTATCAGTGCTCAAACTCCAGCTCTGAAACACCATCGAAAACCTTTGTTTTTAGACCCATTTCTAAAAAGGATGTCTGTATTGCTCTTAAAGCCATTGACCCAAAAAAAATCAGCAGGACCAGATAACCTAGAACCTTTCTTATTAAAAGTTGCAGCTGAATTTATAGCTAAGCCTATAGCATACATTTTTAATTGTAGTCTGCAGACCAATTCAATTCCTAAAATATGGAAAACAGCCTATGTGCTTCCTTTGTTAAAGGGTGGCGACCCTTTAGATCTTCACAATTATAGGCCAATTTCCAAACTCTCTATTCTTGCAAAAATTTTGGAAGCTCAAGTAAACTGTCAATTAAAAGACTACTTGGCCGAGCACAACATTCTAACTGATGTACAGTCAGGTTTTAGAGCTGGACACAGCACTGTTACAGAAACTTTGCTACTATTAAATGACATTATAAATGCCTTGGACCAGAAGCAACACTGCGCTGCTTTTTTTGTGGATCTGTCCAAAGCATTTGACTCTGTTGACCATAAGCTATTACTAGATAGATTAATTAACATTGGCATAGGAAACACAGCTATTACTTTGTTCAAAAACTATCTTACAGAGCGAACGCAATGTGTTTCTATAGATGGTCTTAAATCAGACTTTTTAGAAATTTCTATGGGTGTTCCTCAAGGTTCGATTTTAGCCCCCATCTTATTTTTTATATTCATAAATAACATTGGAAAGGACGTGCAAACTGCTAAACTGCATCTTTATGCAGATGACACTGTGATTTATTCAGTTGCCTCTTCACTGAACCAAGCCATGCATGACCTTCAGTTGGCCTTTCAGCAGCTTCAAGTTTCTCTATATGGCCTTAATATGTTAGTGCTAAAATACTAGGAAAACCAAATTTATGACGTTCTCAAAGGCTCGTTCCCAATCCCCAGATAATATAACTATTAACACATTAAATGGAGACTTAATTGAAAATGTTTCTTCAATAAGTATTTAGGTTTTTGCCTGGACAACAAACTTTCTTACAAAGTTCATGTTGAAAAACTTGTAAAAAGGCTGAAACTACGGCTGGGGTTTTATTTTAGAAATAAAACTTGTTTTAACATGTCAGCCAGAAAAACACTTGTGCAGGCTACTTTTTTAAGTGTTTTGGACTATGGTGATGTTGTCTACATGCATGCTGCCTCTAGTACTCTCCACCTGTTAGATTCTGTGTACCATAGTGCTTTGCGCTTCTTAACTAACTCCTATTCCCGTACTCATCATTGTACGCTGTATGAACTGGTAGGCTGGCCGTCACTAAGTCTACGTAGTCAACTTCATTTGTATATTTTTATGCCATGTTGGGTAAACTGACCCAACATGGCATATTTATGTAATCTCCTCAAGCTAAATTCCAGCCATTTTCATCTCCGTTCCACCAGGTGGCGCTCTTACCAGGTTCCAATGGTTTTTAATGAGCTGGGGAAGAAATCCTTCTCTTACTTTGCTCCATGGTCCTGGAATAATTTGCAAAACTTGCTCCATTTAAATGATCTAGTCCCATTGAATGAATTTAAGGCCATGTTAAAATGTCATGTAATTCAAAAATGCAACTGCCCTATGTGACCTGTCTTTTCCTCTATATGAGATTTTGTCTATGTTGTATTTCTGTTTGTATTTTAACTGGTGTGCCGTCTTGGCCAGGTCTCCCTCGAAAAAGAGATTTCAATCTCAAGGGACTTCCTGGTTAAATAAAGGTTAAATAAATAAAAATAGAGAATCCCACAGTCATCAGGACAAGCAACATATAGTTTGATGAAATTTTGAAAAAAAAACGAGATCTGAAAAGTTCTTTAAAAGACAGTAAAGTATGAACTATAAATATATCACCTTTAAAGATGAGTCTTCTCTCACACTAAAAGCTGTAATCACTAAAGCATAAGGCCATGAAAGGCTGAAGTAGAAGTAAAAACCATGGTGGCACTCACAGCGTTGGATGAGACTCGATTCCAGAAAATTAAAGTGTAAAAACATTTTAAAATGTTCTCATCTAATAGATTTTATCCTCTGTTAAAAATATATATATATATCTTTGAAATTACTTTTATTTTTCTTGATAAGAACATGAATTGCCATTATCTCTCTTAAGATATTACAAATCCGGTCATATAGCAATCCCTGCTCTGTGGGAGGGGTTAATAGGTGGGCCTACCCTACCTATAATAAAGCGCTGGACGTATTGTGTCGAGCATCTTACTTCCAAACTATTCAGAAAAGGTTGAGAAACGGTCAGTGGATTTCCACTATGGAGCTTGCAGTGGTTTTATCTTTGATTGCACTTTCAATGAAGTTTGTCTCAGCTTCAGGTATGTCCGTTACAGAATTATAATAATTGCTGCAGATCTTTAGAATTAGACAGATTGTTTCTCTTTACCCTGGAAAACAAATTGTACAGGGTTTTGCATTATTGCAAATTATTTTGTGGAGTACAAAATGCTCATCTGTCTCATCGTTTTTTCAGTTATCTACTTAAAAACATATTTGAAGGAATTTGGCCTTCTTAGATTCATAAATGCACTGCTCTATGGGTTAGTTATAAGTTAAATAATATTAGTAATAAGACAAAAGCATCTGTATGTACTCAATGCAAAATCTTTTTTTTTTTTCCAGAATGGTGCTACCAGTCACAATTTAGCTGCAACAACACCTGTACAGGTAACCTTGAAACAGTCCCGTGACATCAAATGTAAACAGGGAAAAAAAATGTTGATCTATTAACCTTTTTTCTTTCTTCTCCATACAGGTCCAAATGTGTGGCAAGAGATCTCTCAAAACTGCAACGGCAGATCTCAGTCTCCAATCAACATTGTGACAAGGAAAGTGCACCGAGATGAACGCCTTACTCCGTTTCAATTTGAGGGTTACCAGGCCACATTTCATGGCCACCTCATAAACAACGGTCACACAGGTAAGTCTTGAGTTAAAATGCCTTTATCTTGGAAAAAAGGTAAACAATTAGGAGGCCACTGAGTTGGAGGAGCAGTAAAAGTGCTGAGGGTAAAACGTTTAGCAGTAAACTATATAGGCGAGGATATAAAAAGGATCGATAATCAGCAGGAATGGAAAAGTACAAAATTGAGAGCAAACTGTTTAATTGTAATGTTAGTGTTAATTTTATAGATGATGTGTGAGTCTTTTAAACCCTAATATTACTCCACTATTGCATGTTAAAAAAAAAAGTTTACCAAAGTAGTTTATCTAATCAGTTTATCTAATCTTCATTATTTACTTGGCAAAGATTTGGGAATGGGATGAGAGAGGTGTCTTTGATCTAATAACAAAGTCTAATATTTTGATAAGGCTGGAAACATGGATGCTTCCTCATCCGCAAGTGAGGTAATGATTTTTATGATGAAGCATCATGGAGTTGTATAAAAGTGCTGAAATCTTTTGACTTAAGGAGCTTCCCTGATCTGAATAAAATTACAATTTCTGTCAAAATCTGTTGCCATGTCACCCGGTCAATTAATACACATATTATGAAGTGTTATCTAAAAAGTTTGTCCAGAGGGATCTCTTCTAAGGAAAAGAAGCGGCGAGAGAAATCTTCAAGGTGTAAACATAAAGCTTTTCCTAATTAATGGTGGTTCCACCTGGTTTTTAAAGAGTACTTTTGAGGAGAATAACTGACTTTTTCTATTTTTCATCTTTATGATTCTTTCTCCCTTAAACATACTTAGACATGTTATTTTCATTTTCGGCTTTATCCATTCAATTTTTTTGTTTCCAAATGTAGTATTATTATACATTTTTATTGTTCAGTGGGATTTTTGGTCTATTATTAAGATTGAATGGAGGAATGCTTGTTGCAAATTGCATTAACCGCCTTTTGTATGAACATCTAATATTTTTAAGGTATTTATTATATTTTGCTCTAAGGTTGTATATTTTTTATGTTTAGCAGGGAGCTTAGCCAAAAGTTTTTATTTTGTTACATTTCAATTTCCTTCTCCTGAAAACCATAAAATTAGAATCTGTTTTAACTATTATTCTCTTTTTTTTTTCTCATATCAGTTCAACTGGAATTACCTTCTGGTATTAGAATCAGTGGAGGACACCTGACTGAAAAATATAAAGCCGTTCAATTCCATCTGCATTGGGGCAAAGAGGGAAAACCCGGATCAGAGCACTTGATTGACGGCGAGCAGTTTCCCATGGAGGTCATCATTGTAACATGAGCATATTTGCCTTTTTTATGACTTCTGTTTAAACACAGTAAATACAAATACAACTATGTCTTTCATCTTACCTGTAGATGCACATTGTCCACATCAAAGAGAAATACGACTCTTTATCCCAGGCTGCGAAAGACCGCACAGGAGTTGCTGTCCTTGGATTTATGTTTCAGGTAATTTTCTTTATCTTTGTTTCATCATAATATATAAACATCTGCAAATCATTGTAACATGAATTACCCAATATGAAAAATACCCCCAATTTTTTTTTGTTGAGAAAAATAATGAAAAATGTTCCATCAAATTTTGCTCAGATTCAAAAACCATAACATTTCTCCAAGTAAATGCTGCACCACAGAAAGACACAAAACAATTCTACACAACATTACTCTACCATAAACAAGTTAATGAGTAGCTGTGAGGTAGTTAAAGGTTAGGAGTCATCAACAAGGAAGCTTAATTTTAATGGTTTATGAACATGGAAACAAAGTCTTAAAAATTTGGCAAAAGAAGCACGCGATTAGATTTTGATGGGATTACAACATAGAAGCAGGTCTATTTCCCTCAGTTATGTAATGGGGCGGGCAGATATAAGCCACCAATAAAACGCATCACTAGAGTTTATTTTAAGACTTTAAAGAGCTTTAAGTGTAATTCTAACTTGAGCAACACCAATTTATCATCGTCTGAATTTTTCCACATTCTCAGCTTTCTCAGTTGTAAAAAAATGACAGTTTATATATAACCTTTTTCTTCATAAATTCTTAACTCATATGCTCTGCTGTATATTTCCCCTAGTTTTTCATTAAACCTTTTTTATTTGCAAAGTGGCACTTGTGTGTTTCAGGAGTCAGAGTCTAATAATGAGAAGTACTCTCCACTGGTTGATGCTCTGAAACGGATCAGTGAACCCTGTAAGTTTGCTGTGATTTCAAGGAATAAGAACCTAATCACAACACATTATCTGCAAGCCAATTTGTCTAATTATCTCCTGGGTCAGCCGAAGGGCAGCAGTTAAATAATACCATAAGCAATTTTCTCTGATATTATATATAAATAAAAAAAGGATTTGATTTATGGGATCGTCACGTTGACCTTATCTAATAACCGATTGGTTGCTGACCTTTCTGTATCTTTTGAACTCCAGCCAGCAACACCACGCTAACAGGCGTCTCCCTGGAAATGTTCATTCCGCCTCAGAAGAGCTTGACGAAATACTTCCGATACGACGGCTCTCTTACAACTCCTGACTGCGCTGAAGCTGTTGTCTGGACGCTGTTTGAAAGCACCATTCCTATGAGCAGGAATCAGGTGATGCAGGCCTTTTTGTTATCAGTAATGGTTAAAGACTGCTTGTGATGACTGGTGTTATTCTGATTGTTTTTTATTTTTTTCCCCAAAGGTTTATTCTGACACTTCCACTGATCATTTAACCTCTTATATCAATCATTTGTACAGAGCTAATATTTACACTCTTCTTACAGTATATTTTCCTTTACTGCAGCTCTCTGCATTCTACCAGCTCCGGTTTCCTGATGGGAAGCATATGGTTCAGATCTACAGGCCAGTGCAACCTTTGAATGGAAGGGTGGTGTATTATTCCAACGGATACATCTCTTTGGCCAGCTGGGTGCTGCTGACCTCGTCAGTGCTGTTTTCCAGCGCTGTCCTCTAACACTGATGATTTAAAGCGTCAGAAAAAAATTCTTAGATAAAAAAATTCAGCTTTGATATCCACCCAATAACTATATTAAGGCTTTCGGCTTTTTACTCTCTACCTTTTGTCATTTATTTTATTAAAAGGTTTACTGACATTTTTAATCATGGTTGTGAAGTTACATCGCTTTTTTTATGTTTTAGATCTCTGAGATATTTAATTCAAAGCTGCCTTTGCGCCTTGCCCTCAATTTATTTTGTCTATTTCTTAAAGTTACTCTTTAGGTATTTTCTATGTTTTTCATCTGGTTATATCTATATGTAATAATAATAAAAAAAGATACAAATAAAGAAAATATATAAAATAAGCGCTTGGGTCAAAGCTTTGTGGATTTCCATCATCAAATGCTTCCCCTCCCTAAACAGGGACTTGATTTACTGAATTAAAAAATAAAACCATTTGAGTTTTATTCCTCAAACTCAAACTGCAACCTTTTTCACTTTAGCAATAATCACCCTCACATAAATTTGTGCATTTTTTTTTGTTTGTTTTGTATATAATGCTACCTTTTTCATAATGGATTTTTTCAGCAATAGTTTTAAAATCATAAAGGTGGAAGCTCAGTACAAGACCCAATACTAGCGTTGTACCGATATGATACCAGTATCGGCAGGGCCCCAATACGGCCCTAAAATGGTGGTATCGGTATCAGCGAGTAGTGTACCAACAAATACGGCACCGATACCATTTTGAGAGCCAAAAGTTTATGCAACCATTGTCACCCATTCCAGGTAGGCAATAAAAAGTTCTACTGGATTTACTTTGTTTCAGTCTTTTTCCTGCTTCACAAAGGTAGGCAGCAGCTTGACAAAGCCATGATGGCCATCATATTACATCCAAGGAGTATGCAGTTCTTCGTACACACACACTTATCAGTTTCAAACAGATGGTATCGGTATTGGCTAATACTGCACAGCCAGGTATCGTGTGTCAGGGCCCAAAAATGGCATCGGCGTAACACTACCCAATACCAAGGTGACAAACAAAAGTATTGAAGCTGCCCATTGAATGGATTATTTACAACTTTTTGGATTATTTACATATCACAAGTAGCAACTATAATCTGAATTAAACATTGATTCTTTACACCACAACATCAATTAGTCCAATATGACGATAAGTTACCTCACCACTACACCAGAAGTTACAACACAGGTTCAAGACAGACAATCTGTGGACTGGTGTCCATATACAGCCTACAATCAGTGTAAAATAGATAGCTCTACAAACAGGTTTATTTCTAACAATTTAAATCTAATTTAATCTTATAATTTTGTTGTGATTCTAAAGTTAAATTGTATTCCCAGCCCGCTGGGAATTTATGTTTCTGATATTTTAAGATGTTTATTGCCCTCCCCTGTAGGGGTGGTAAAATATCTTATTTAATCAGATATTATTTCAGCTGTTATATAATGTTTATGACACACAGTCCTACTAACTGTGTGTTGGAACAATAAATGAAAGAGTGATTCGATGACTAATCATGGTCAAACAGTCATTTCTGCACATACATGGAATAAATTCACCACAACTTCTGTTCAAAATATAAGATTTTATTAACAAAATTCATTCAGCTCCAAGTCAAACGTATTTCAGTATAACACTCTCAACTAAGACTAGTAAAACTCAACTAAACTAAACTAACTACTATGTACAAAGAGGAAGGGGAAAACGGTTGAAGATGGATTCTGTGTTTGAAACCAAAGTTTATCTGGAAGAATTTGGGATATGATCAAATTAGCTTTTCACTAATTTTAAAGAAATTGGAATGTTTTCAGACCAATTCACAATGCAAATCCATGAGGTGAATAAAACATTATTTGGCCAAATAATGTTCTATTGAGTGATTTGCTTAATCAAGAACCAAAAACCTTTAGTTAAATGATTATTTAACCTCCTTGAAATAGCTAGCAGCGAATAGACATCAGGATTCCACTAAATGACTCTTGGTCATACTTGGTAATGGAAATGTAATGAGCATCTGAAGAACACATGAACACTAATGTTATATCAGTGTTTAAATCCTTAGTGAATAAAGCTTGTCTAAGCTTTAGCAACAGCTCAACACATATTCCAGTAGCATAGCGTGGCATGCAGTCTATTCTTTAGCATCAATTAGCGTTGTCTTTACTCAGCAGTAAACACACGATATGATTAGCATCATCAAAAGACACATTGCTTGTTCTGTCCCTAATCATGCCAGACCTGCAAACCTTTTTCCATGTCCATTTGGAAATCTTGAGTTTCATCCAGTTTTGCAGCTCTGCAGTCAGGGATTCTTTGTCTCAGTCTCACACCAGGGCATGCTCCTCATCCAGTTTGGCTCTGTAAGTTCTGAAACTCAAGAGAAATGTGTTGCAAAAGTTCTGTTTGCAGCAGTTTGGTTCTTAAGGGTTCGACTTATCCTCGATGGTTCTGGGGATCTGGTTCCCCTGGGGCCCGCATCTCCACTGTGGGCCACAGTGGGCCCCAGCTTTGAGCGCAGGAGCAGAAGGGACCAGGAGAGAGGTGCTGGAGCAGAAGAGCAAAAGAGGCAAAAGAGAGTGAGGCCAAAAGAGGCAGAATCCTGTGTGCTCTGTGGTTTTCTCTATCTTCACAGGGAGGGGGGTAGGTTTTCACACCTCTGGTGGCTCCCATGGGACTTGCTTTGGCTGAAAAAGGGGGGCTGCAGAAGCCCCCGAGCTGTTATTCACCAAAGCTGCGTTTTCTTCTCTGGTCATCCAATCAGGATGAAATATGGACACTGCTTCCCAATGTCCAAAAAGTATGATCATGGCATATGGCATAACAATTTACAAATGACAGAAATTTTATAGATGGATCAGAAACGTTGCCTTTTTAATGAAAGCTGTTACCTGCTCTCTTTAATGACAGAAATTAACTCTTGCAAATTATCCTCTGACAAAACGTTCAATATGCAAAACCACAATTCCCAGAAACTTCCTTAATAGCGCTTACTCAACTCCAGTGATTAGAGGTCAGGGATGGTGAGTATTTACAAACTAAATAGTAGTGGACCATAAACCCAACAATGACAGCCCAATAAATAGAGAGAGAACTGCCCTACCCATATAACCTTACCCTTCTAAAGAAAAGGTGTCTTGCAATCCAACAAGGAATTTCATTTATACCTAATTATCAGCACAAAGCAATAACATATGGTATATGTGTTAAATATCCACAGATTAAAGTACATTTTGCAAACAGCACGAACCCTAGCACCAGAGGTTACCTTGACCAACAGGGCTGAGCTGAATTTCACTGTCTGATCAGCATGCACCAAAAGATTTGTTCACTGCCTGCTAAAAACCTCATAACTTATAAACCTTATAACCTTACACCTATCAGACTCAATATGCATTTTACTTGGAGAAAAAAAACCCATAAGCTTTCTATTCGTATAAAATCCAAAAATGGCCTGTCAACTAGTGTTTGTGATTGAATTCCCCTCTCCCTTCTGCTCTGACTGTTCATCTGTCCCTCCTGTGCTGCTCAGCCTATTACCACTGATTCCTATTTGCCAGCCTTGTTAAGCAGGCCTCGGACTAGTAGAAAGTGCCAGATTGCCTGAAAGCTTTGGTTATTAAGCATCCAGCATTTTTCCCCGTCTGTTTACCTGATCCTGACCTGTTTTTGCCTCCTGATTTCTGAGTCTCCCTAGCCCCTTTTTGATCTGTTTTTTGTGCCGCCTTGTTCTCTGACCTGTTGCTGTGCCCTTAATTTGTTCCTGGATTCTGTTTCGGATTCTCTGAATATCTGATCACCTGGCTCTGACCTGGACCTTTGACCACGATTACCTGCCGAGCCTCAGTGAGAAATAACTGTCAAGGAACCAAAGTTTCAGGAACCAAGACACCCTGCATGAATATTAAAGAAGGTTAGTGGCTTAGCAGCCTGAACTTTTAATCATCCATCACTAACCTGTTCTCTCTCCTTAAGAGGCGCTGGTTCCCCTGATCCTGAATTACCTGCAGAGATTCTTCAATAAATCTTTAGCCGTTGTATTTTGGTTGTATCTGGGTCCTCAGTCTAAATCCCAACAAAAAAACTAAAAAAAAAAAAAAAAAAATCACTCATAGGCCATAACAAAAATTGAGACACACCATGTTCATAGATGTCAAGAATATGATTTCATTGAGTTCATTCCAAAGTTAAAATTAAAACTCTCAACATCAGTTGCTGTGGTTTGAGCTGCTGGAAATGATGGATAGTTGTTGAAAGGTTTTCAAATATGCTCTGGATATTCTTTTTTGTTCTGAAACGACATGAAATCTGTTGAGAGTTAATTAGAGGATGAAACGCAAGGGCATCATGGAGCGATAATGATTTTTTTTATGCAGTCTGTAAAAGACTGTGCCAAAAATTCACTTAAAGGAAAACATACAGCCAATACAACAGCAGGAGATTTTGATCAGATGCTCAGGTGTTAGAATGGCCCAGTCAAAGTCCAGAACTCCATTTAAATCTTTGTGATAAGGGATGTGACTGAGATTACTTCTGCATGGATTGTATAAAGCTGTTAAAAATATTCTTCAGACTATCAGATGTATTCACCTAGCGGGAATGAACAAAAATGTCACACATCTCTAAATCCGTAATTGCATATGTAAAAAAAGAAAAAAAAAAACAGACAAAAATGGTATCTTTGTTCAATGCATATGTGAGGAAAAAAGGCGTTTTCTCCTCTTTACATTTTCTGCCTAAACAAAACAAAAACTTTTCCCCCTTGAGGAAAAAAAAAAAAAACGAAAACAAAAAAAAGCACAACTGTCAGGATTTCTCCTCGCAGTTCTCTCTACAGCCACTAGATGGCAGCAATTTACCAATAAATATAGTGCCAATGTTTTTTTTATGTGTTTGTAAGAGTACTGATTAGTTTTTTGTTTCTTTCGGGTATTAAGATTTAATGTAAATATTTTTTGTGAAAATCAACATAATCTATTGTGCCGTAAGGAACGTTTCAGTTTAAGATAATGTTTATTAATTATTTTAGGGGATCAACTTACTGAAATCTTGAAGAAAAAAAACCCTAGTTATATTGCTTGTGAAAGATTCAAAATTTGTCACATCACAGTTTTATTGTGGTTTATGTGGATTGCGTAATTGTGTAGTGGAGGGAAAATTAGGTATGATTTTCCCCAATGTTTTATGTGACACAACAAAAACAAAAGAAAAACAAAATATGGTGGAGACAACATCAGACTGTGGTTATACTTTTCTACAGAAAGAGCATGAAAGCTGGTCTAGGTTGATGGGAAGATGGGATGGAGCTGCAGTGGAATGATTTACATCGTTAGCTGGACACCAAACCTTATGAATTAAAATG